AAGCGAGGATATGGACAACAACAGTAACAAACCCATAAAAATGGGTTTTGAATTGATTCACTTCTATTCTGGAACTTTTGTACTGGAAATACTATATACAAGAGCAGTTTCTAGACCAAGCCGCACAAAATCAAAATGTATGTAGACAAAATATTTAGTAGTGTACGTTATATACACTGAATATTGAATATATTGTACAAATATGTTGTTTAAAATTAGATCGAACAGCAAATAACCCTAAAGTCGGAAATTTTCAATTTCTCAATCTCTCCGACAACCACGAAACGTAGCTAAGATTTGCTGATATCGGAGAATTGATCAAGGAGTCTTCACTCCTGACATAGAAATTTGACTTTCAGTCTCAAAAAACTCGTAACAGAAACGTCCCGAGGTTGGCTGCCATTCAACTTTTTGAAGAACAACGAATATAAAGACGAATCATTAATGTATGTTTCATCTCCATTATAAAAATCCGCCTTCTGCTTTTCTTTCACACAATTTGAAAATAAAGATTTAGGGATTATAAGACATGAACAGAGAAAATCATCATCAACAAGTAACTGTGACTTCGTAGGCCAGGTTGTGATTTGTTTTGCACAGCACTAGTACGCACATACCTACATGCGAGTATGTATGTACATGCTTCCACTTTTTACTTGACTCTCGCTTTTCTTCTCCCTGCTTAATTGCCAGCCACAAAACAATTTCCTCACTCGATTTTCCTTTCGATGTGCGGTGTGTGGGCGCGATTACAAAAGAAAACATGCAAGTTAATTGATATGGAAACGGCTGCAATAATTTAGCTTTTTATTTGCAATGCTCTCTATCAATTTTTAGTGCGTGTGTTACGCACCATAAACAATTGCCCGGGGCCGGGAAACACAAACACAAACAAAAAGTAAAAGTCCAGTGCGTGTATGGCTTTTTCCACTTTTCGCTTCGCCTCGCCATGTCATTAACTTTCTGCGGCCCAACTGTGATTTGCAATAGCAAGACATTTAATGATGATTGGTAATATGCATTACTGCTAATGTTTTGCATCGGGAATGGCGCGGGTCATCGAACGAACGCGTGTCACGCGTGCATCCAGACACCAGTCGAGTCATCGTCTGTACTCCTACAAGTATTTGCGGCGACAAATGTTTTGACAAACAACAATTAATTGAGAAAAAGCGTGAAATATGCCCATAAAGCGGCTCCAAAGCCCAACAACAGCCACAAATTCAATGAACTTGGTGTGTGGCAATAAATTAGAGTGAAAACAAGCCATCAAACACACACTCTCTCACACACACCGGCCGACACATGGCATTTAGTTAACCAACCGAGACGATAAAAAAGAGTTGGCGTGTGTTGAAAAGATGTTTCTTTTATAAATATATATATATATATGTATAGTATACAGACATATAGGTATGTATTTCTACGACTACAATGATGCGGGCTTGCCTCGAAATAAAATCAAATGACAACTCAATTGATAGACCAAACGAGTGGAATGTAGCCGAGTTCAGAAAACTCTTTTAATTCGATATTTAAAAAGTGGTTGAATGTGTGAAAATAATAAATAACGCGGCACCCCCACCTGACTGGTAAAATATTGATTTATTCATCCGAGCAAGCCCGTTTACGGCGACAGCTCTGTGTCTGGTCTCGCGAAGCAGCCACGTCTAGTATGTGTGGCAAGACTCATTAGAGCTGTTCATACACACTTCAATGATATGGCAAACTCTTTTTTATAGAAAAAACGCTGTTTTAAAAGGGTATATGGTGTTTGTGTCGAAAGGGAGCACTTCCGACCCCATAAATCTGATCAACTATACGCCCACCTCTTATACGCTTGTTTGTCTGTACGTTGATCAGAATAAGCGCCTACTTATGTTTAGGAATATTCTAGGCTACCCAAATGTATTTTTTTTTTTTTACTGCAACATTATTTTGTCAAAACTCTTTAACTCAGAGTTGAGAGCCCTAAAGAAAGTTTTTAGTGCACCCCAAAGCTGATGAGCGGTTTCTTTAACGTTGTTTCTTCTTTGTGGAAATACTGTATACATTTAATTGTCATATCTCTATAACTTTTATAGTAACATTTAGTTCGAAATACCTATTTTCATTATCAATCATCATCATCATTATCTGCATTATCATTCAATCCATTCCCAAGACAGACATGGCCCACACACATAGAACTGATGCTTGACTTCGCAAGCAAGGCTTGTCGTTGCAGGCCTGCTTGGCAATATTTTAGGCGGCACAATTGAAAATTGCTTTACAAACAATTTAACTGCACTGTGCTAAGCAGTAAGTACAGTTGCAGGGGCGGCGAAGAGGGGAAGGGCAACGGAAAAGCAATGCATGTAGAGAGAGCCGCAGCCAAGCGAACTCACTCGCATAAGCACAGGCACAGTAGCGACCGTTTATATTCGACCTGAGCTCGAAAATGTGAACACATCACAGGTTCGGTTCGTAATCAATAATTAATTAATAATCGTATTAATTAAGTACTTTAAAATACCTTAAATAGAAACGAAAATATGAAATCCAGAGCTATTTCCAGAGCCTAACAATGGGACCAACCGCTGAACTGGAAGACCGGACCGAACCCAACATGTGGATATCTATTTGCTGCCCGATTGCAGCAACATGTTCCGATAATTCCCCGCTTAGCAATTTTGACTTCGCCAACAAATATGAGACTGAAGAATTCGTTGGCAGTTTTAAGTTCAATCCTCGCTGGAGAATTCGGTTACGATTTGTCGATTCAAAACACGTTCTTAAATAATCAATTGAATTCATTCTGACTTGTGTTTGGCATTAATTCTCTTGGATAAACCCGATACTATATATACTATATAAAGTATAATAATTAAGAGTTTGACATTTGAATTCTGCAGTTACTAGTTTTATGTCGAACACTATACACCAACGAGAACTCGATGCCCGGCCCGGCCAGACTAAAAAGGCACAACCAACTCGCGTTCAACATCAAAGTGTTTTTTGAAAGTGTCGAGCGGGCGGGCGTGCGGTCGAATGGGCGGGCGAGCGGGTGAAGGTGGGAAAGAGAGAGCGAATGCTCGGCGTCGAGTACAAAAACAAGTTGTGACATTTGTGGCGATAGCTGGGGGGTTCACAATGTGGAGCGTGCATAGAAGTGCCGCCTAAGCCCACCTCGACCACACTCACACGCACAAAAAACACTTGTTTAAGTGTGTGTGTGCGTACTTCTCTTTGCCATTGAAAGCGTGTTGAGGCGTTTTTAATGCACTTGAGTACAGGTGACGAAATAAGGTGCGGCAGAAATCGCAAAATGAATTCGCAAGATGAATTCTAAGCCGAGCACGTTGTTAAATAGCTACTCAGGCCTTAATACGTCCATGGGTAATTAGCTGCCGCATTAATTTTAATTAGAAAAGTTATACACTCTGAGCTTAAGTTGACAGGCGAAGGTCCCAAGGCGCTACTTAAAACTACTACAAGTATTTAGCTCGATTTCGATTCTGGGTGTGAAGCGGACAAGGTGTGCTAACAGCCTTGGAATTTCAAAACGCTTCTATAGCGCTGCTTTAGGGATTATCGCATGTTCCGCAGCGTTTATTCAGGACTTCTTCATAGTTTATACATAAATTATTCAAAAGACCTTTAGAGGAGAGAATTGTTCTTCAAATATTGTGTTGCAGAAAATACCCAAATGGACGAACAGCTCGTGTTTAAAATAAAAACGCCACCTCATTCAACACAGTCCTGAATATCGACCCAGGAAGAAAGAACCAGCTGGTGCCGCTTTGGGGACTCCCCAAACAACAATAGGTACCGGTGTAATATAATAAACAAATAAATAAATATTAAAACCGGAATTGTGAGTAGCATTGACGACATTTTTTAGCGGGGAATATGGGGTCATGATCAACCATACACATATACTTTAGGGGGACCCGCGAAGCTTACTTAAAATTGGTTTGTTACAGTAATTACAATACACCTAATTCTGTTTTTACACGGTTTTGATTTAACACTGCTTGAAAATACCAAATTTTTAATTTTGTTGCACGATTTTTTTCCATTTAGCACGATTCAAAATAACACAACAGAAATAAATAAAAACGCACACAGCTCACAAACAGCTAGAAACCATTCTTGTATGGGTCGTTACAAAGAATTATACAAATTATAACAGCGTACACTGTCAAAAATGTAGATGCCGAACAAGTAAAAGAAAGTCCAGTTCAAAATTATTTTAGCCATCACTATCATTAGTGATTTTATTCGCATTCGAAGCAAGCAAATTCGAGTGACTGATGATGACTTCATTTTAATAATTATAGTTTTTTAATTTTGTTACCTTAAAAATTGAATAACCTTTTCTCTTTGTTAACAACATAGCAGTTCTACATACATACACGTAGATAATTCTTTTAAGTTCCTGAACTTGCCATACATTTAATTTATATTACATACTCTTAAGATATGCACTCTAACTATCTTTTTTTTCTTCAATAACTATGCTTGTTTAAATACACATTTTAAGTATATGTGATTTAATAATACAAACATGAATACCTGCTCTTAAAATCCTTGTTTTTTCGCTAATTTTAATAGGTTTTAGAGATGGTTCCTTATCTCCATAATCTATTTTTGCATACGATCAATGCCTCTTTTTACACGGTTTTTTCTGCAACCAATCCTCCGTGCAAAAACAGAAATAGCTGCATAACATTTGAGGGCTTACTGATTTATCTCTGAGTGTAATGACTGCAGGGTATTCAGTCGACAGTGAGTTGCTGCCAACCATTAATTAAAAGTCTCATATCGCACAATAGGCGATTCGAGTCGCTACACTTTCTTAGAGTCCAACGCACACAACAGATTCGCTGCGCAGATTGGAATTTGTGATGGAATGGCGTGTACTTAAGATTTTCTATGCTTTCACTTTCAACATACAGCTCTAGAAACCGCGGATAACGACTCGTGTTGCAGATTCCGAAAAAATTGTGGGCACTCACCTTTAGAATCCGCTTTGGGCCTCTCCTTTTCTTTCTTCTGTAGGTCTTGTAGGACCACCACCTTGGCTTGTGGCTGCTGCTCCGATATTTTGTAGAGCGGCTTCTGATGTAAAAGGGGCTGCTTTGTCGGCTGCTGCTTCTGGAAAAGTTTCGGGTGCACTACGGACTGGGCTGACTGGCTTTTCGACACTATAACTACGTCGGAACGCGTTGGCTTGGCGTTCTTAAGGCTGCTGGTGCTGGTGCACGTTGAAACAAGATTGCTGGTGTTTGTGTATTTTTCTGCAAGCGAGGAGAGTGGTGGTTAAAATTTATGCTGCCGACTTTTAGGCTGTGTGCCAAAATTAATATACAATATGTTGTCTGATTGCGAATCGAACAAAGCTAACGTTATTGCAAGTGAAATTGTCTTACTGCCGCTACTTACGATCTCCTTCGGACCTCTTCTTCTTACGCAAGACGTTCTTAACGAAGAACATATTTGTCGTGAAAGATTAGAAGTCGCAAAAATATGGGAATATTTGGTTGCATTAAGACGGAAACTAAATTTTGAACGCACGACTTTCCGAGTAGGAAGGCTAGATATATGTAGGTGTTGGAATGGTTTTAAATGTTCGTTTCTATTGTGTTTTTGGTGGAGTTTCGGGACACTCTGACATAATAAAGACAGGAATTTACGGGCCAACTAAACCAACTATGAATTTTGGAAACAACTTTACACAATTGGGACTTGGCATGTAACAAAAATTAAGTATCTAACGACTTAAATATTAATCGACGACACTTGTTCATACTGAAGCAATTTACACGAGATTCCGAGCGTGCAACGCAACATGTGGCACGCGGTGCGAGTGTGAGAGAAAATGCGGGTATGCCATACCCTAATATTGACTCAATTGACGATCAGTTGAAACCAGTTTCTGAGCACCTGTTTAGTAGCTAGCTTGACTGAAGAGATAAAGTACCAGCAAGACGCTTACAAATTCATACCTAACAAACCCGAGATCGAATCTAATTCCTAATCAGCACAAACTTCCGACAATGAAAATGGTTTAAAATGAATTAAAAATTATTAATTTTCAGGATCTTTATCGCGTGCAGATCGTGCACATGGTGCTTCTCCGTATAGGACCTGTCCAGTAGTATCGTAAACTCTTTTTCTTGTCATGCTTCTACTTCTAAAAACTGCCCCTATTTTGATCGATCCACTCATGCACTCATGAAACGCTTTCGTTTTCAGGTATTTCAGAAAAAGTGTTTTTTTAGAAATGCCATTTAAGGCAACCCAAAAATTAGAAAAATAGTTTTATTTAGAAAAATTAAAGCTTTTATTGACTTGATTTTAATTGCATTATGAAGCGAACAAGCTTGCCCAGACTCTTGGCTCAGATATTCATTTGGGCATACAAATAAGTCTTACTTACCTTTCCTATTCCCGGTAAGAAACTTAAATCTTTAACCTTTTATAAAGCATTGAAGCGATAAGCATAGCACGAGTATCTTAGGTTTTATGAACCACAAATTTATGTGAATTTGAGTGTCGAATAGATTACCCGATTTAATTTCAATATAATTAATATTTTGTCATCAAATTAACGGAATCATATGGAAGGGGACTAAAACCGTGTTTGCTTGAGAAGCAAACCCATTTTCTCTTAAAGGAATGAGAATTGGCAAGCAGTGCATTTCGAATGGAGCAGTGCGCGAAGAGCACGAAGTGTTGCGGCAACATGTTGCACGATGATCATGGAATGGCTGAGAGCGCTTTCTCTTAAAGCGGCAAGCTTGTTCGCTCACCTCTCTTTGCTCTTTTTATCCACTTATTTTTTATGCAGATACAGATACAGGTTTCCTTCAATTATAATTAGCATAATTTTCTGCTTGCTTTTGTCTTCTTTTTCCACTTGCTTTTTGGGCTGCAGTATGCGATGGCTGCGTCTCCTCTTGTCTTGTCTTGTCTGGTCTGGTCTTGTCTTTTCGTTGGCTGATTGTCATCGTTGCTGACCTCATAGCTGGCCAGGCGGCTAGTCGCTTGACTGCCTCGCTGTCCGTCTCTCGGGCTGTCTCTTTTCCTTCCCGCCTTTCCGCCTATTGTTTTGTTTAACTCATTTCCAGGCACTAATTGTAGGAGTTTCTTAACAAAACGAAACAAAACAAAATATTGTTGTCGTCTCTAACTAAGATTCAATGCAAACCGCAATGTGTACAACAACAACCGCATTCGAAGCCATAAATGGCTAGTACGAGTCTACTGGTTGTTGTTGTTGTTGTTGCTACTGCTGCTGACTAGCAGCACGATAGTTGGCAACGCCAGCCGAAAAAAGAGTTTACAATGTTGTGCCGCACAATGTCAGCCGAGCGCTGAACTTCAATTAAGGCACGACAAAAACAAAATCAGCAATTGCTACTGCGAAAATAATGACGATAATGATCACGATGATGATGATGATGATCATGACAACGACGACAACGCGTACGACAATGAAGATTGGCGCCCTCAGTCCAACATGAAGTCGTCTGGGGTCAACATAAAGCCAAGGCACGACAATATCGACAACAACAACAACAACAACTAAAGGCTAATCAAAACTAAGCATTTGCCAATGACTTTACACAGCTGCGTTGGCCACTTCCCATGCTATTGATAAAGAATTACTGGGCCATAAGAACCGGATCTAGCACGGGAGCTGGAGCATGTGGGCTGGCTGCCTTAACGAATACGATGGAGGCAGAAATGTGGCACGCTCGCAAATCTTACACAATTATGCCAATAATAAGTATTACTCGAGCTGTGGCTGTGGCTTTAATTTCAGCCTCAACTCGATGACAGAAGCGCCGGCTCGTTGTGGGCTCGATCGTGCGCTCCATGCTTGGAATATTTCAGAGAGGTCTAATGCGAATATCTGTACACACAGCCGAGTATATGAACGCTACAGGCGACGTGATTGAACGTTTTGAGCCGATTACGTGATTGCAGAAACGCCAGCAGACTTAAGCAGCCAGAATTTTAATGAACATTTTCGGCCAGCACTTGAAGACCGAATATTAGACTCCCTTATCAGTCACACGCCGAAATACTCGAGTAAGCTGTCCAACAGCATTGGAAGAAACAGCGGGCGGGAGATTAAAGCATTCAAAATTGTGGAACATCTATGTCTGTGGGTCTTCAACGAAGCATCGGTGGTTCAGTGGTAGAATGCTCGCCTGCCACGCGGGCGGCCCGGGTTCGATTCCCGGCCGATGCAAATCCTTTTTTTTTAAAGAACTACCAAATATTTAGTTCAACAAATAAGTATTTTACTAAGTCCAACTACTAATTAAGAATTGATGCAAGACACTTTTTTAAATGTTTAAATAACAATTTATATTTAAACATACACCATTTAGTTCAGCAATTTTTCTTAAAACCAACGAATAGTTGATTCATGCAGTACTTTTTTTTAATGTTTGGATAACAGTTAATGTTCAAAGGACCTCTGCGATTCTAAAGGCGACAACAAGACTCGAAGCTGTATTCAGGTCCACGGTCACATGGACCTACGGAACGAATTCAAATTAGTTTCGAAGTAACTGCCTAAAAGAGAGCTTTAGGATCCACTATTTTGGTAACCCCCCCACCCATATAAGCATCGGTGGTTCAGTGGTAGAATGCTCGCCTGCCACGCGGGCGGCCCGGGTTCGATTCCCGGCCGATGCATTTCATATTTTGTTTTCTTTTAAGGTACAAATAAAGCAGCTCTATATAAATAGGTAAATGTGTAAAATTCAATTTAAATGAAATATATTGCTTGAAATGTCGTGATTTTAAGCCACATATTTTATTATTTGTTGACCAATTTACTAGACTTTTAGCAATTTCAGCCGAGTATCATTTACTTCCAATACGTTTTTGCTTAGCTTGGCCCTCTTAATTGGAAATTATATACATACATTGGTCCTTTTTTCTGGTGGAGCCATTTCTATGTGTCCTCAAATTTTCAAAAAAGGGCATCGAACAAAGAGCCAAAAGTGGTTCGCTATTCAAGAATAGATTTTGACGAACATGTTGACCATCCAAATTGAATTGAATTGAATATGCCCAAGACAATGTTTTATCGCATTTTAATTGAATATTTGGGACTGGTTCTTACTTTCTTCCGCCCAAGTAGAATGATAACCAAAAACCGATCGACACTTGAGGCTAATTTTCGGTCAAAAAACTCACTCTTTAACCATCAACCTCTTCCCACATTCGCCTGATTTGGCAGGTTGCTTCTTCTACCTTTATGCAAAAATAAATTTGCCGATGAAAGGAATGTGGTATGTGGACGTAGAACTCATCTAAAAGGCATGTTCCGATATCGTGTGGCCATCCCATTCAACAAGCCAAAACACTCGTTCGATCTGCTTCTAGATCGCGCCAATCGCTGTATGGAGTCCGAAGGGAGCTATTTCTAATACATTAAGCTGACTTTTAACTCTTTTTGTTTGGATTTTTTCCGAGATTCGTTTTATGGAAATTCAAATAGTCTTGTTTGCATTTTTGGCAGCATAATTATAAGAGCATCGGTGGTTCAGTGGTAGAATGCTCGCCTGCCACGCGGGCGGCCCGGGTTCGATTCCCGGCCGATGCAAACATTTTTTTTTTTTTGAGATCACTCTTTTTTTGTATTTTCGAGAAATCCAATAAGTAGTTATCCAAGCTTTAATTGCGACAATTGAAGGTACAAACAAAGGAAATAATGACTTCAACAAATGGGCATCGAACAGTACGTTTCATTCTCAAATTCTCGAAACACGTTCCACCACATTTGTATTCATGTGCGAATAACGTGGAAAAAAAGCTTGCTTGATATACTTAATTGGGTGTCTTCAGTTTTCTTTTTTATCACTCGCTTATTCGTACATAAAATTAGAATAGGCACAGCTACGAAGTACGGGACAGACGGAGGTTGAGAGCAGGCGGACAGACAAGCAGGCGGCGTCGGCGGCGGCGGCGGTGACAGACAGAGAGACTATAAACGACTTAATGCAGCGGCATTCTAGTACATAATTCAACTTGCCCGCAAAGCCGCAGAACGGCAGAGCGGCAGTTGCCGAAGCTGGAAACAAACTTAAGCCGCAGTTGCTTTCCAGCGAGCTTCGCATAAACACACAATGAATTTCCCTATTAAGGCTAATTTATGTGCGATTACAAATTTGCATGCGGAATGGACGACACTCGAGTGAAATTGCGGGAAGTAAGCAAGTCCGAACAAAAACAAAATATCTTGCAGTTGCATCGGCCGGGAATCGAACCCGGGCCGCCCGCGTGGCAGGCGAGCATTCTACCACTGAACCACCGATGCTCGTGCACCACCCCCCGAAAATCGATCATACGAAGCGGACGCAGTTGATTAATTAAGAATGATAAACAATCGAGCGCTACTTCATGGATGGGCCCCACAAATACATATGTAAATGTATCGAAGTATCCCCTTTAATTTTTCGTGGAGCAAACATTTTTTCAAATCGCACTTCGTTTACTTAAAAAGCTAACGAATCTAGTGGAATAGTCATTCTGGCTAAAGAAATACCCAAAACTTCTGCTTATAGTATTTACATAATACTCGTATTGATTACCTTTTAGCTATCTCCAGATTATTGCAAAAACTAAGAGAAAGCCCTAATGCCAACCCCAATTTCAATAAGTGCTGCTCAATTTATTTAAGGTTCTAGTTGCGCTTAAGAGTGTTCTACTTGTATTTAATATAATTAGTCAAAATAAAAGTAATAATCCTGAACTGTCTAAGAACACAAAAATAAAAAATAAAAATAAAAAAATGTTCAATTACTTATCAAATTTTTGATAGATGCTAATATTTATATCTTAATATAACCCATGAAAAGGGAAATAACTGTAAATACATACTTATGTACACATATACATATTATGCCCCCCATTTACATTCCTATCCTTATAAGCAAACGTATAATTATTTTTCTCAAATCTTATCAAAATTATCATTTACTTATACATATTTACAAGTAAATAATGTACCAAAATTGTGCGTCGTTACTTCCATTTATATCGCGATTACACTCTCTACAACCATTAAATAAAAAAGAAAATAAATAAGATAAAAAATAAAATTAAATTAAAAAAACTTATTCACTCTAAAATATAATAAAATAATGTTAGTTTTACTTAGTTATAGTACATCTAAGCTTAAGGCCACAGTGCTATAGCTTTTCTCCACTGTCCGTGCGTAGTTTTCACATTGCATAGGAGTTCTTTTTAAACAAATAAATAATAAAAGTAGTAATAAAGTTGAAAAATAATTTAATTTATTGAGCACTCCTATTTAGAAACAAACTCAAAAGTTGTGCCAGTTTTATGAACCAGTCACCAGTTACCGATTCTAATCGAACTTTAGATTTTTATTATTAGAAGCAAATCTTATTACATTATCTTAACAAACCGGACAGTTTTGAAGCAAAGGTGCTGTGAAAGGTATAGAGAGGAGTTATCTCGATTTTAAGATAGACAAAGGTTTTGTGGGTTGTAAGACTCAACTCAACTGTGGACTATTTAAACAATTCAGTTGAGGAATTTCAAGTTCTCGGCTGCAATTGCGAGCTGCTGCAATAGGTGCTCGAACGTTACGCCCCAATCATCAGGCTGTCGGCAAGGGACTATAACAGGGCGGTGACAACTCCACTCTTTGGGGCACATTTCGCATTCGGCATTCCGCATCACTCGACACGGATGAGTCATGGGAGTGTAAATCGAGGCAGCGAGTCCACAGTTCGTGGTCACGGGCTGCCAAATTGAAGTGAGTGAGCATTTCGCACAGATTGCGTGTGGAGCGATGGTCTTGGTCTGAAATCACTCGCAGATGTGCGACCGCGACCCAGGCCCAACGGTCTGGTGAGCACGCAGCGCACAAAGCGCCAAAACAATGCAAACAAAGTGCCGCTAAATTGTTTTTCTTCCCATTCCCCTACACATACACATACACATATATGTATATCTATGGTGTGTGTAAGTATGTGTGAATTAATACAAATACACTCGTAGCTACGCATTCCCAACACCGAGATCTACGACGAGCCGCGATTTGAACACCGCGGCCTCATGCTGGACTCAGCACGACACCTTGTGGGAAACACTGGGACCGAGAGATTGCAACTCATTGAGGCAATGGGGCACTACAAATTGAATACTTTCGAGGATAGTGGGGATGACCCTGCACTTTCGTGTACTCATATATATAAACAAGAATTAACCGATACGCCAGCGGATGTGGCCTTGGTTTTGGAATTTGCGCATCAGAGAGGAATTAGCGCCGGTGCCGTCTAGTGCGTCAGTCTACACAGCTTCCTGGAGGCTAATGACGCAATTCTAGGACGAGGTGGCTCGGCAACTGCGTCTCAGACAAGCACCCTTGACTTTCTCTACATTGAAACCGTAAGCGAAAATACGAATTGGGGCTCCCTTCTAAATACCTTTATCAATTTTGCATGTTTAACAAATATTAAATATACAGCATCTTATACTGTCTTTAGTTCGCCTAGTTCAACGACAGCCCATGAAGATAGTTTTAAAACAAGTTATTGTCGTGAAAATTGATTCAACCTGATTGTTAATAATAGCATAATAATATTCGGAATGTTAGATGTTCTTATAAGAGCTAAAGACATTACAATTTTATTTTTTCGGTCTTTTCTTATTTTCGGGAGTGGGTACAGGGTATTTAAGAGTCAAGGTCAGTTCTGTTCATCCAAACCCCCTTGACCTATGGCTTACAAGCATATACTTGTTTGATGTTCGAAGTGGCCTCAAAAGAGTCATATTAAAGGGTTGTGGGATTTAATTGAAGAATGGTTCAAGGATGAGGAACTTCTTTAGGACCTCTTTAGGATCACTGCAGCCTCTAGGGAATACATCTCTTGCTTTACAGATAATACTTAAAAGCGTTCTTGGTTGCAATTGTTTGACAAAGGGAAACGAAAACCAAAAATCAGAATTCAAATGTTATTGTTATGGACGGGGACCTATTGGGAGTTATAGTTATCTAATGCCGATACGAGAGCGGCAAAAGCTTGCTTTAGAGAGGACCGGACTTTAACTATACTGTATATCTATTGGCAATATGCAAAAAAAAAATGTACTTACTTGTCGCTGTGGGCGAGGGCGTTGACGACTTGGTTCGCGTCGATTGTCCCTTGACGGTCTGTTGGGTCTTTGGCGGCGGTCCCAGATCGGTGGGTGATATGCTCAGATTGCGCACATCACGCTTTTTGGCAGCTCCTGCAATGGAAGGGGCAGAGAAAAGGGTAAATGAGTAAATGCCCCAGCCATACGCACAAGCATGCACACAGACACATATTTTCAATATTTAATTTATGCACGAACACGTTTGTAAAGAGTGCTCCCCACTCCTCTTCCCCACTTCAATTCCCGAGTATTTCACATCTCAGAGGAAACTAACTCAGTTTTGCCTCAGCTTGTCGAGTTTTCAATACCCTACACAAATCATAATCGGCTCTTTGCTAAGGTGCTTATCAAATTCAAGGAAAAGTACATTTGATGTGGTCGAATCTGTTTAGCTTTTGGCAAACCTATCCGATGGTGCTTTACAAGCAGTCCCAAATCTGGAACAATCTTCATTTAATAAGACAGAGATCCCCTGTTATAGGAATATATGTGATAAATTTATTATTGTTTCTAGAATGTAAAGGTTCGTCCAAGTCAGTGGGTCCGGATTGCAACCTTTACTATATATGCCTGTGTACACTGGTGTCCACACATCACATTTGAACGCAGTGCCATTGCAATACTCTACCTTGCAACTGAACATTATCGCACCCGCCTCAAATGTTCAGTGTTTTCCCCAGAACTCGTTCGCAGAAGCTATTTGCATACCAATGTTCGCCAGATTAAAACAAAGCGTTTCCATTATCGAAGTGCGGCTGCCGCTGCTACGAGCCAGCAATTTTATAATTTGTTTGTGCAACTTGTTAACCGATGTCTGAGGCATGCTGCGAGGGTAGCAGCGAAAACAACGGCAGCAACAACAAGCAGCTGCATAAAATCTAATAATTTTTATTTTTAGCACAGCTGCTCCATTTGTGGGAAACGGGCAGAAGGGTGACGGGGGAGGAGCAGAAAAATGTTCGCCATTTAGCTTATGCACAACTTTTTTTTATCGTCCACGCCACATAATCCATTTTTGGGGCTAACCTCAGTAACGAGCTTACGTGTTCCCCACAAACATGTAATGGAAATAATGCTAGCATAGGTATTTCCAAGAATCAAACATTTAAGTCGAGCGACACTCATATTGTCCAACGCAGATCAAGTCCGTCGATGCCCCACTAATAGTATTTAACCCGACTATAGGGTGGTGTGAAGGTACATTGGTTTGCTGGGTAAGCCACATGAAATATGTAAGGTCTGCGAAATATGCCACCTTGTTATCATATTTTCCCTAAGCCCAATAAATTACAGTTCTAATTCGGTTTATAACTATTTAAGGGCAATACAATTTTTTATAAAAATAAATCAATATTTTGTAAACCAAATAATTACTTTAGATATGCCGTCTGGCATTGTCTTGACAATGTTTGGCGCACTCTGCTCTTCAAAGCAGCCAAATTGTCTTCTTTGGGACTAATATGGTCCTGCTGAAATGTCCAAGAATCTCCATGTATATTTTCTCAAAAATGTTTGAGATTTTCGTCCAATAGTCCGGAGTTTATTTTATTCAAAATGCATCACACACCATAAGGTGATCTTTTCCTTATGGTAGGGGTCCTGACAATAACGTTGATAACCATTCGGTGCATCTAAATTGGAATTATATATCCAAATCGTAATGTCCGTTGCCTGTTCCAATAACTTCTACTTCTCCCACAGTTTTTAATACTTTTTAACGTACTATATATATAGACTTCGACACCGTCCACGTCAGATCGCTATATAATATAGCTGTTATAATAGATACGATGTGATTTAAAAGCTCGTTTATTTTTATTTTGAGAATGAGGAACACGGTCGATTCGAAATAAATAAAATATAGGTTCAAGTGTAAGATTAGATAGGCGCAGCCCATGGCCACAAAGTAATGACGTATTAAGACGAAGTTAACTTCATCGTCGATATAGCCATGTCCGTCTGTTCGCCCAACTCTCCGTCTGCCTGTGGAACCACAAGAATTTCCACAATAAACTTTAAATACTTCAGGGACCAAACTTGGATTACAAGTTCTGCTTTCCAATTCACCACCAAGATTCTTCTAGATCCAAGCAACACAATTCACTCGATGAAGTCGTTTTCGTATAGCTCCAGCAATTCTTGCGCTCAAGACAGGAATCCACTTGTGTGTTTGAAACAAGCCATATCAAGATTCGGAAAAAAAAGATATAAAAATAAATAATATATACTAGCGGAATAATAGAAGACTTTTGATCTTGAGTTAAATATTAGAGAGATCAGTAGCTATACTTTAGACTATAATTCCCAAGTGGCTCTCCTGCGGTCGGTTGGTACGAATACAAACAGCTTGATTTGTTTATACAAGTAATGTGGGTTGCTGTCGTAGACTATTGCCAGATATGCCAGATAGCTTCACATGATTTATGCGTATATAAATGTAATTAATAATAATTAATGCAGCATCAATTTTGCAAGAAGAAAAACGTCCAAGATCAATATTCTTCGTCACAAGATTCTTGTACTTTCATCTTGAGCGCTCTTTTGTCCTTGTTCCGTATCGGTTTGAATACAAAACTCCCTCTTTTTGTGCGAGTGTAGATGGACAATTATCACTAAAGCACTAAAATGTGAGTTTTTCGTTTAAAAACCAACACTTTTCGGGCTTAATTCGAGTACTATTTCAGCTTTTGCTGAACCCAAAGTGAACCCTTACTTAAGTAGTTCAGAGACAGACACTCACCTTTGGAGACACCCTTCGCACGCTTTCCAAAACTGCCAAAGCGTTCGCGTTCAATCATTTGACTGTGTATATAGCGCTCGGAATACGAACGGGATAGTTTCTCCTTCGAACTGTGCACGCCCATTTTGATGGAGATTTGATGTTATTCACTTTTTTGTGATCTACCTTCCGTCGCAGTTTCTGATTTCACTTTCGCAGACTCAGCCGCAACTACACCCGCGCACAATCTGCGATGGTTTTAATTTGATGTTGTCGCGACAATTGCCGCTTCAATGAGTTTTTCTGGCGTTACTTTTCATTTAATAAACATGTACACTTTATTTTTCTTATTTCTTATTATCACAACAACAACGCCAACAACAACAGCCACACCACTCCGGACATTTCAGACATCAGCAATATTTTGGTTGCTTTTGCGGCTTTCGGAGTTTTCCCGGCTACAACGGTAATTGCATTTACTCGCAAATTGCCGTCAATTATGTTTTCATTTAGTTTGTGGCGATTAATTCGTACATATGTGGCAGCATATGGTTGGGAGTACGAGATCCGTGCGATGAGTAACTGGCCTAGCCATGGAAATGGATTTTTGCATAAATAGTGGATTCGAAGCTCCAGCGAAACATTGCACATTACTATATTTTAAATTATTTACAATATTTTAATACGTAATACCCGAAGATAACCAAAAAGTGTTGCCACCACAGTTTTGAAAATCCTACAAGCACCACGTATGTTTTGAGTTCGAGTTTCGGAATCGAAGCCTTTCCAGTTGCTACCAATTTAAGAAATATCGAGTTCAATCATTTGGACAGCGTCTGACGTTCTACCGTTCAAAAAGTTCTTAGCATTTATCTGTTAAATGCATTTCAAAACAATCGCACACTTTAGCTTTTGAGCAATTGTTCTAACTACAAAGTTGTCCAATTGGACCAGATTTGACAATGATCTGATAATTTTAAACGATGTGTGCTTAAAAAACAGACAAACGAACAAATTGGAGAAAACTCAAACTAGTTTTTACAGGGATATGAGAAGAAGATGACTTATTATTAACCAATTGGCCTATCAGAACATTAAAACTATTGATGAAGCAGGCCATCCACCTGGGAATTTGTTCATCGCGAGAACTACGAGAGTTGTTCTCTTCTTTATGGACGCGTAAAGTACAGTTTTTTAAAGTACAAATTTTTAATGCTTTTTAAGTCATTTTTCCACGATTTATTGCACAAATGCTTTTCTTATATTCATCAGTTTTATTTTTCAAAATGTTGGCTTCTTGTTTGGAGGCATTTAATAAATTGGAGCAACAAATCGTTGCTCATTTTAAGACGTGTCTGCTCGAACTATATTTTTGACAAATGATGTTCCACCGATCAATGCCATCCATAATCGAAAATGTTCGAACGAACACTCGAAAGATAGAAACATTTATATTCTTGGTGAACAAAACGCCTTCGACGAACTAATTCGCATGTGAGCAGAATAGGGCTAGCAGTTTAGGGCTCAATGTTGGCTATAATTATTAAAATAATTGATATGAGGTCAATAGTCTCTGGGTCTTTAATTAGCACTTCCACCTTATTAATTGGCGAATATTTTAAAGTATTCACTAAAAGAAAGACTATTTGTAAAATGTTCTACATATAATGGATTTGATTCGGAAAAGTATCTGCGTGTTTTACATTATAGCTTTATCAACCAATTCAGTTCGCTTTAAATCATAGCTTTACTTAAAACAGCTGGCCAGCCAATAAGCAGCAATTCAATTAACCGCCTCATTTAACACCGTATTTCGTTGGAGAGTCCGCATTAAAATTACAATACTATTAAGTATATCACAAACCGCCACCCGAACACCCACAATGTAGTTTTTCGTTTAATTAAATTATTTTTATGGCGCCATCAACAGCATTTTCCAACGCATTCCTGGCTACGCGCCTAAAGCGAAAAGTGCAATATTCGAATGAAAATCCCATTAAAATTCGTGTGAAAAATATGCCCACAACAGCCAACACACACACACACACACTCGTATACTATATACACACACATATTCATATTATGTTATAATTTGGTGCTCTAAACCATTTCACATTTAATTAAGAATTTTGAAAGAAGCAAGAAGCGAGAAACAAAGTGTGTGGATAATTTTGGGTGCAAAAAGCGAAAAGTTTTTGGATTAACACGACGAGGGGAATTTGCGCAAGCCCCCAAAAACCGAAATGATGAAAAATGTCGCACATGCTGATAAATTGCCATGTGAAAAGGCAGAGCGAGCGAAGATACCAAAAGCACGGAGCGACCTCAATTCAGAGCTTGTTGTTGTTGTGTTGGTTGTTGTGGGAACTGTAAA